TGTGATTTATTTAACTCTCAATATTATTAAAAATCAAATGTATTAATTTTTTTAAAGACAAGTCATGTTCATTCATTCATCTCTGATTTATCAGGGGTCGCCACAGCGGAATGAACCGCCAACTTTTCCAGCTTATGTTTTACGCCGTGGATGCTCTTTTAGATACCCAGCACTGGGAAATACCCATAAACTTTCGCATTCACACACACAGTCATACACTACGACCAATTTAGTTCATCAATTCCTGAAAAGTCATGTAATTCTGGCTAAAATAATCTCTTATTCGCATACTTTTTCCTCATAGAAGACTTGTGAAAACAAGAGATGCCTGCTGACTCACAAGTCATATAAATAAATGTATAAAATATACAATTTTAGCTCTTTAGGATCCCCTAGAATTGAATCCCCTGAAATAACCAACAAAGAAATTCGGCTATAAAAGCATGCTGACAGTATTATGCGTTGCGTTTTAATGGCTGAGAAATACTTCATAAGGGCTGCTTGTCATAAGTGCTCCGGCTCTCTCTGAGAGCTTCAGGGGCCGCGGTTAAAAAGGCAGAGCGGATAATTATGGAAGAGCATCATCAATTATTTAATGCCAGCTGCCATGTTAAGGGCATATATAAGACAGGCATGAGGTTGCATGCTCAGGAGCATATAGACATTTCTCAGCATGAAATGGCTGGTTTTGTTTCAGTCATTCTGATCTGTAAAGCATATGCAAAAACATGCTGCAAGTTTAGTCTCGTTATTATTATAGTTTATGTATTTAATTTTGGGCGGCACGGTGGCTTAGTGGTTAACCCTGTGGCCTCACAGCAAGAAGGTTGCTGGGTCAGATGGCATTTCTGTGTGGAGTTTGCATGTTCACCCTGTGTTGGCGTGGGTTTCCTCCTGGTGCTCCGGTTTCCCCCACAGTCCAAACACATGTGGTATGGGGGAACTGATGAACTAAATTAGCCTTATTTAATGAGTGTGTGTGAGAGAGAATGAGGGTGTATAAGTGTTTCCCAGTACTGGGTTGCAGCTGGAAGGGCATCCGCTGTGTAAAACATATCCTGGAATAGATGGCGGTTCATTCCGCTGTGGCGACCTCAGAAATAGAGACTAAGCCGAAGGAAAATGAAATGAAATGGAATTTTTTCTGTAAAGTGTGAGTAAATATATTAGTTAAGCGTTTGTTAATAGCTTACGTATGTTATGGGGACGTTATTCTAAAGTTGCAACTATTCCTCATTTACTAACAGTTAATAAATTAAAAACAGCTGCAACGTTAGAATAACGTCCCAATAACATATATACACTATTAACTGATACTTAACAAGTCTTATTAAGTTATTTATTAAGCGCTTGTTCATGATCTATTACTAATTTATTAGTTATATTTTTAAATCATTAAAATACAGTTAAGAAGTCATTTACAACTTGTTAACTAACAGCTTGTAAGTTATCTATTAGCCACCTATAAGGCACAGTTGAAAATAATTAACAAACCTTTAACTTTTATTTAATAAGTCATTTATAACTTGTTAACTACCAGTTTATTAATGGTATATTACCTAGTTATAATGGATAGTTATTCTAAAGTGTTACCAAAATAATAATACATTTTATATTAAAACTAGCGCTGTCAATCGATTAAAAAAATTAACTAATTAATCACATTTTTTAATACATTTTTTGAAAATTAATTGCGAAGCAGACACTTTACAAAACTTGCGTTAAAGCATGAAACACGGCAAACTTAATGAAACATTGGAGGGCGCATGCTGAAAGACTGACTTTGACAGCTCTCGACTATTCCGATTTTAATATGATTAAGATAATACTCTTAATAACAGTCTACCATGTAAGCAGCAATTTTTAATTACCTTAAAGGACCACCTAGTCAAGAAATGCTGAGGTTTTTCTTTCCATTCGCCATGCGGTATCAAATTCCATTTGAACAGAAGTCGAAAGTTAAAAATGACACACCTGAAATTGCATGAAACTCTGGAGGAAACGCTGGAGAGTCTGGTGATGCGACAATAATTGTTGTATACTGAAACTTGCCTTCAAAAAGTGCCTCCGTGGTCTTATCTACATTTCTTTGTATGTTGAAACAACCACGGCCACAACAGGAAAAAAAAAACTGCAACTGCGTTAATTGCGTAATATTTTTTTTATCGTGTTAATTATTTCAAATTAATCGCATGCGTTAACGCACAAATTTTGACAGCATTAATTAAAACTGAACCAAACGTTGCAACTCAGGCTCATTCTGAAAACGTGGCTCTATACACAATCCTGGAGAGTGTGAATTATCTAGCCAGAGCTACGTATGGCTGCATTTCGATTTTAAAATGAATGGTACAGGGTGGTATGATGCCATTCCTTTTTGCGCTTATCAGCTGACCGTCTACCTCCACATAGACGGCTTTCCCACTGTTACCAGTTTGCTCAGTGGCTCGCCCCGTACATCAGTGGACTTGTGACGTGGACCTTGATGACAAGGTACAAATCCGATGAAGAACAGTTCCAGAAAGCAGGTAAAAAAAGGCAAAAAAATTAAATAAGCAAAAAACAGGGTGAGAATATGGTAAAATCTGAAAACATGGTAAAAATCAGGCAGCCGCGAGGGTTTTTCTTCTTTTTTGGATTGCTTTTGAAAACACTGTTGGTTTGGTTTTGGGAAGGGATTGGGTAAGGTTATTGATCAGTCAGTCTGTCGACAGCGGCCTCTGGTGGATTTACGCGAGAACAGCAGGCGCGATTGGCACTCTCGAGAGAAATTTGAGATCTCAAAAAGGGTACACAGCGGTCTCTGGTGGCTTAAAAAACTCCAAAAAAAAAAAAGCATACCTCCTGGGTAGTATTTGGCGCTCTCCAGAAATGTATTTTCAGAATGAGCCTGTGTTGAAATATTGGGTTATGACCATTTCTAATCATAATAGTTTTAACTAACTCGTTTCTAGAAACTGATTCGTTTCTCTTTGCCATGATGACAACACATAATATTTGACTAGATATTCTCCAAGATACTAGTAATCAGCTTAAAGTGACATTTAGGGTGCTTTCACACTTGGTTCATTTGCCTGGAGCGTACCCAAGTGCGATTGTCTCCCCCTGCCACCTCCTCGGTTGGTTTGTGTTCACACTGTCTTTTTTCCTTCTGAACCCCGGTACACTTGCATCATCCAGCTGCTGTTTTGTTTACGGCTGTTGCTAGGTGACGGTCACAAAAGCAAGCGCACATCACAGTCATTCTGCTTAAACTGAAGCTTTTGTACATACAGAAAGCGACATGTGTCCATCTGCCGCAAAAATGTTTTAAACATTCAGAACATCACAGAGTGCCAGCAGAGGCTGTTTTTGGAGGAGACAAGCAGACATCACTGTGTATCACTGTGTTTGCCCTGGCTCAGTCCCGCGCGTGTCACCAAGGTACGAAACGTGACACAGACACACACGAACAAATGTTATGAAAATGATAGTTTGTTGTACAGTTGGCTGTTCACTTCCGTGATTTGGTACGATTGCATTCACATCAGAAGAGAGTTTGCATGAACCATACCACAGACCACCTCTTTCAGGCGGACTCGGGTACGGTTCACAGGTGCGCAGCCGAGTTCAGAAGACACGTTCACACCAGCTAAACGTACCATACTACGACGTCAAACGAACCTAGGTGCGGATCAAAAGTGCTAGTGTGAAAGCACCCTTAAAGGCTTAACTAGGTTAATTAGGGTAAAGTTAGGGTAATTAGGCAAGTCATTGTATAACAGTGGTTTGCTCTGGAGACAGTCAAAAAAAATATTACTTAAGAAGCCTAATAATGTTGACCCTAAAATGGTTTAAAAAAGCTTTTATTCTGGCTAAAATAAAACAAGTAAGACTTTCTCCAGAAGAGAAAAAATATTATCAGACATACTGTGAAAAATGTCTTGCTCTGTTAAACATCATTTGGAAAATGTTTGAAAAATAATTCACTTGTATTTAGCACACAACAGTCATCAGGGTTTTTACACCTTTTCCAACTTCAAAGTCCAGCACTTTTCAAGCACTTTCGAGGTGCATTTGTATGCTTTTATAGCACCTAATAACCACGGTTAATTATGTTTATATATGTTGTATGTACTTTTTCACATTTAAATCCATTGTGCTATTTTAAGTAACAATATGACATTTCAACTTAAATCGTTGAGTATTTTAGACTTCAGTTCAGTTAATGGATGAAGTATATTTTTAAGTTTGGTCTCTTTCTACCTAAAGTTAATATCTCAAGAACTGAGCTTACAGTCAGATTTTGTTTGGGTGTTGTACCAAACTTTCCTGACCAGTCGTTATTTTTTACAGTCATTAGATTGACGTTTCAGGTCTAAAGATGCATTCTGGGTGAATGTCTACTAAATACATATGAAGCTAATAGTACCAAAACAATCTGAATTTAAATCGTGTTAATTTGAATTCTTAAAAACTTAAAACTGTATTTTAACATCCCGAATATCTGCAGTCTTTGAATTCAGAACCAAAAAAAACAACAACTGAAGTTTAAAAATGTTTATAAAAATCTGACATAAAAAATAAAGTTTCAGTTCAATAATAAAGTTAAGAAATACAAATTCAAAACATTTCTAATAGGACATAATCAGTATTATTAACTTTGAACACAATTCAAATTCAGATTGTTTTGGCTTATTATTAGCTCCATAAATACGCGCATGCGCTGAACATTTTGCATTAAAAACACGCACGACAACAATTTATGCACTCGCACATATGCTCGCAAATATATTTTAAGGTTACATAGATTAAACTGCGCATATGCAACCAAGAAAACAGTCACAATTTTGAGCCTTGCAATTTCAAATTTAATCAGGTTCAAACACTTTGTCCAAAATCCAAGCACTTTTCTAACCTTGAAAACACTATATTAAAAATCAAGCATTTTCCAGGATTTTCAGCACCCGTAAGAACCCTGAGTCATATTTGTTCTCTTTTTATCCTTTATATCGTTACAGCAGCGGCCCCTGAAGCAGTCCCTGAGCAAGTCCCTGTGTCGCGAGTCGCACTGGAAATGTCTGCTTCTGTCTCTGCTAATGTACTGCTGTGTGATCGCAATGACCTGGTGCCAAGTCACGAAAGTCACGCGTCTCAGCTTCGACAGCACATTCAAGGTAAAGTCCATGATATACCACGACAGCCCCTGCTCCAACGGCTACATCTACATCCCAGTGGCCTTTCTCGTCATGCTCTACGTGGTTTACCTCGTCGAATGTTGGCAGTGCTACTCACGCAACGAACTTCAATTTAAAGTGGACCTGGAGAGCGTCACCGAACGTGTGCAGCGCATGCAACAAGCTACGCCATGCATCTGGTGGAAGGCTATAAGTTATCATTACATACGACGGACGAGACAAGTAACGCGCTACCGAAATGGAGATGCGTACACAAGCACGCAGGTTTACCATGAACGCGTAAACACGCACGTCGCTGAAGCGGAGTTCGATTACGGTAACTGCGGTGTGAAGGATATTTCGAAACACCTCGCAGGTTTGGATGGCTTCCCAGTGACCAAGCTACGCTTCACAAAGTGCTTTAGCTTCGCCAACGTCGAATCCGAGAACTCCTACCTAACGCAGCGAGCTCGCTTTTTCACTGAGAACGAAGGATTGGACGATTACATGGAGGCGCGTGAAGGAATGCATCTTAAAAATGTGGAATTTAAGGAGTACATGGTTGCGTTTGCTGACCCGAATCGTCTTCCTTGGTATGCATCAACATGTAGCTTTTGGTTGGCGGCGGCGTTTACGTTATCGTGGCCGTTGAGGGTGTTGACGGAGTATCGTACGGCGTATCTTCATTATCACGTGGAGAAGCTTTTTGGGTTTGATTATGTCTCAGTTACGCCGCTGGATCAAGAGCGGCCATTTTGTCGACACATCCCGCGTGTGAACACAATCGATAGCACAGAGCTCGAGTGGCATATTCGCTCAAACCAACAGCTAGTTCCTAGTTACTCTGAAGCAGTGCTAATGAATTTAACGCAACAGTCAAGTTGCAACACATTCTCGGCTCGTGGGATTGGTGCAGCGGGCGGAAATGGTTTTGGTGGATACCGACAAAACTGCGAGCGATGTCATCGCTCCATCAGCAGCTCGTCGATATTCTCGCGCAGCGCGTTGAGCATCTGCAATAGTAGCAATCCACGATTAGCATTTAGCAGCAGCCGGTTTTCCCTAGGCCGCTTGTATGGCTCGCGGCGCAGCTGTCTGTGGCAAAGTCGCAGTAGTAGCCTAAATGATCCTGGATGTCCAACGGAAAGCACAAGATGTCTAGCCAATGAGGAGAGCCCGCCTTCTCCACCAGCCTATCAGGACGCGCTGTATTTCCCAGTGCTGATTATACATCGAAACGAGGGCTGCATTGCTCATGATCACCATTCACTGCATCGCAACGGGTCCTGTGTGGAGACTTCGTTATAGCATTCGCAAAAGAGAACATAATACAAACTTGGGCCCAATCCCAATTCTATTTTTTATCCTTTTTTTGGCCCTTGAAACAGAGTAGGAAGGGCTTCAAATTTACCCCTAAGGAATGGGACAGCACTACAACAGCTGCACACGTCATCATACTTCATATAAGATCGATGACGGCGACTGCTGTAGTTATTCCAGTTGTGTAATTTTTTGGTATTTATCTTCAGGAAATCACTGGAGTTAGCGATATCAGGTTATCGTAACGATATAATGTGGCAATAAGATGGTAACTGTACTGTGCATTTACACTGTGGCCATATTCATCAATGTAAACACACCAAAACAACATTAACCATTCACTAGGCTTGATTTGATTGACACTAGGCTATCATTGCCAGTCACTAGACCTTGAGTGTCATCGAGTGACACATGTGAAGGTATGTTGTGGGACTGCTATACAGGGGTTATTATTAGGGATTATGAATAGCCAAATTTAGTGTTTTGTTCTTTTATATGGTTTTTTGAAAAAGCATGAACGTAAAACGCGAACACCATTATAAATGTATTAAAACTATAGGTGGGCATAGATTAATTTTTTAAATCAAGATTAATCTCCCTGTAATTTTGGAATTAATCTAGATTAAAATGGCTCATTTGAATTCTGCTGAAGGCATTCAGAATATGTGTGCTACCTAAATAATGACTAAAAGTAAGTCTTTGAGAACGGGTTTATCAAACCAGGTGGCGCATTAGACCAGGGGCTCATCTCCTGTCTCCAAAAAGCATCACAAACTGCTTGAGAAGCTGTTCTACTGTGATAATTGGTGATGAAAATAAATGATGTTCAATAAGATGTGCTTGTGTTTACTTACTGTTTATTCAATAACATGAATGTTGAACTGTAGGCCTACATAAGCTTCAAACCAAATGCCATTTTTGATGACCTTGATGACTCTCAATTAATTATTCAAAGAAAAATTTATTAAATGATTGTTGCAAAAATATAACATTTTGGATCCATGGCACAAACTGATAGAAAAGACATCAAAACCACTCTTTTTATTGCAGTAACATGCAGCAACAAATCGTTCACATTAAAATACGTTAAAGAAGAAGCAGGGCTATTATATACAATTAAAATGTATTTAAAAACAGTAGAAAAAAGTAGAAAATATCCCAATATTTAACAGAAACCAGATCAAATATTTATAAAGAGGCCTGATGCAAAAACCTCTCACTGCCATATAACATTTTTTTTTTCAAGCTCCTGTGTGTAGGTTCAGTAATTTTACTTTTATGGCAAAGATTATTATTATTTTCGTTGCCTTTAATGTGTAATAACCAACACAGGTTCATTGTGAAAATGCTGGTCAATCAGTGCTTCTGAAAACTCTACCAGTTGGGGTAAGGGAAGTTAGTGATCGCTGGTCGATCCGTGCTTCTGAAAACACTGTCGGTTGGGTTTAGGGAAGTGTATAGGCGCTGGTCAATCGGTGCTTCTGAAAACACCATCGGTTGGGTTTAGGGAAGTGGATGGGCGCTGGTCAATTGGTGCTTCTGAAAACACTATCGGTTGGGTTTAGAGAAGTGGATGGGCGCTGGTCAATCGGTGCTTTTGAAAACACTATCGGTTGGGTTTAGAGAAGTGGATGGGCGCTGGTCAATCGGTGCTTTTGAAAACACTATCGGTTGGGTTTAGAGAAGTGGATGGGCGCTGGTCAATCGGTGCTTTTGAAAACACCATCGGTTGGGTTTGGAGAAGTGGGTGGGCGCTGGTCAATCGGTGCTTCTGAAAACTCTACCGGATGGATTTAGGGAAGTGGATGGGCGCTGGTCAATCTGTGCTTTTAAAAACACAATCGATTGGGTTCTGGGAAGTGGGTGGGCACTGGTCAATTGGTGCTTCTGAAAACACTACTGGTTGGGTTTAGGATAGTCGGTGGGTGCTGGTCAATCAGTGCTTCTGAGAACACTAGCGGTTGGGTTTAGGATCATGGGTGGGCTTGTCGATCGCTGCTTCTGAAAACACTGTCGGTTGGGTTTAGGATAGTGGGTGGGCACTGGTCAATCAGTGCTTCTGAAAACACTAGCGGTTGGGTTTAGGGAAAAGCGGGATTGTCAATTGGTGTTTTTAAAAAAAACTGTCGGTTGGGTTTAGGGAAGGGAGTGAGCTTGTCGATCGGTGCTTTTGAAAACACTATTGGTTGGGGTTAGGGAAGGAGGGGGGTGGGTCAGTTGATCAGTCAGTCGACAGCGTCCTCTGGTGGATTTATGTGAGATGGGCAGGTGCAAATGGCACTCTCGAGAGAAATTTGAGGTGTCAAAAAGCGTACACAACTGCCTCTGGTGGATTTGCAAAAACAAAAACTGCCAAAAAAAAAACAAAAAAAAACATACCGCCTGGGATGTATTTGGCACTCTCCAGAAATGTATATAAGGGTACCTAATCAGAATGATCCTGGGTTGGTAATAAATGATAACTGATCATAAACATATAGGCAGAGAAAAATCTATATTTTAGACATAAAAATCAGATGGCACGTAAAGGTTTTTGCATCTGAAAAAATGGCTTTGGTCCTGTTTTTCCTACATTACTTTTAATAAAAAAAGATGCTTTACAACAGAAATGATCTATAAAACTATTTCCAAACACTTTGGTCTATTTACAGAAACAGAGTCGGTGCTATAAATAATTGAAATCATGCAGACTGAAGGACCTAAAAACCTCACACAAAACACATCATCTTTGAAAATCCTGCTAGATAAGAAATGAGCATCATCTTTCATTTCAGAAAATATGTCATCTGTACGTTTCGCATCGAATAAATCATTCCAGTTATTCTGATTTTACATTTGTCTACAACTACCTCTTCTTTTTATAGGAATGTAAGTGCCTCAGTGTTATTTTAGTGCCCCTGTTTAATTATTTATAAAGCTTATGTGTTGACATTGCACTTGTATATGTTTCTCAAGTTACTGTGAAAGAAATGTAATAGAAGTTTTGTGCATGAGATCAACCCCTGCAAGAAAAAAAATAACACCCTGGATGTTCAAAATGAATCTGAAATATAAATATAGATGTTCCTGTGCTGTCAAATCATGAAACAGCAAGTTGAAGGAAACATGTTTGCTTCAGTTTATGAATACATCTTCTCTAAAACGTTTATAGCCGTTTCATAGTATTAAAAGTCATTTGTATAAAGCATTGGTGAATAATCTATAAAAGCCCCACTTGACTTCTTCTGCATGACCTCTGACATATAAACATCCTGTAAATATCAGAGTGGACAGAAAGTGACAGAATAAAGTTAAATAATAAATTAATATGGTCTAAGTGGAGATCTAATTTGGTAAACTGAGGTTGTCAAATGTGACCACTGACCACAAAACCAATAATAAGAGTCAAATTTTAATCATCTGAAAGCGTTCTGTTGATTTATGTTTGTTAGGATGCGACAATATTTAGCCAAGATACAACTATTATCATTTTTATTTCTTATACTTGTATTTTAGATTTCTTTTATTCTTGGTTTGAGCAAAACTCTTTAAATTGCCAGTGTGTATGAAACATGCTATATAAATAAACTTGCCTATTGAAAATCTGGAATCTGAGGGTTCATAAAAGTCTAAATACTGAGAAAAATGCTCTTAAATCTGTATTAATTAGTTCATATTAGTGCTAAAAATAAATATTTATATTAGGAAATTTACTGAATGGCTTAATGGAGCAAAATTTAATTATTGAAGCACAATTAACACTCTAATGATTTTTGGCATAGAAGAAAAATCAATAATTTTGAATTACATAACCTGACAAAAGTCGCCTATGCAAGTTTTAGGAACAGCAAATAATATCTTGACTTCTAGTTGATAATTTGGTATCAGAAGTGTCTTATATGAAAGGCAAAGGCCTCTAGATTACGCTTATTTTGGCAAAATAAAATATGATCATGATTAAAAAAGTCAGAACAGAAATAATGTCCAGTGTAGAATATAAAGTCCTGCTGCAGTGGAGACAGAATGAATATTGTGTCTGACTCCATCATGAGCTTGGAGGACTGCATCCATACATCTCTGACATGACTCAAATCACTGATTAATAAAGTCATCTGGAATGAAGAAGAAAGTGTTCCTGCAGGACTCCCAGAGTTCATCAAGAGTCTTTGTGTTCATCTTCAACGCCTCCTCCTCCATCATGCTCAATAATGTTCATATCTGGTGACTGGGCTGGCCAATCCTGGAGCAGCTTGACCTTCTTTGCTTTCAGGAGCTTTGATGTGGAGGCTGAAGTATGAGAAGGAGCGCTATCCTGCTGGAGAATTGTCCCTCTCCTGTGGTTTGTAATGTAATGGGCAGCACAAATGCCTCAGGCTGTTGATGTTGATCATCCACTCTGCAGATCTCTCACACGCCCCCATACTGAATGCAACCCCAAACCATGATTTTTCCTTCACCAAGCTTGACTGATTTCAGTGAGATTCTTGGCTCCATGCTGGTTCCAGCAGGTCTCCTGCAGTGTTTGTGATGATTGGGATGCAGCTCAACAGATGATTCATCAGAGAAATCCTCCTTCTGACACTTTTCCAAATGATCAACCAGACGTCAAGTTATTATTTGTTGCTTTTAGATCGATGACAAGACTTTTGTCAGGTAGTGTATACAATGTATTTTTCGGCTATTTCCAATAACAAACCCATGCAACATAATATTGGTTTTGTGGTTCGAGGTCACAATTATGAGATTTATTTTTTAAACCTGGATCATTTTCCACACAAGAGGAGGAAAAATAAATTCTATGTTGCACGCAGAAACATTCATGTTTTTCTTTTGAGTGCATTCAATAGAAGTAAAAAGAAAATGAAAATAATACAAAATAATTATTTAAAACACTAATTTGGGGTTCATTTTTATGTTTTATTGATGAAATAAAACCAGAAAGTCTTTCTTCATACATTTCAAGAAACTCTTATTATGTACAACAACCAACTAAGTAAAAATGTACGCTATAAACAGAGGACTTTCCAGGTTATCACATCTTGTACTTTAATAATTCACAAATACAGTGCTTGACATATATAAACCAACATAGGCTCATTCTGAAAACGAAGCCCTATATACATCTCTGGAGATCGCAAATAATGCAGCCAGAAGTACGTATGGCTCAGGGCTCAACAATGAGGACTGCCCGATGTCCCGGAGCCAGCATGTGAGATTCTCGGGACAGTAGACAGGATCATTACTGACCCAATCGGGCCACTGATGCCCGGTCACTAAAGTTTAATTTGCCTGTGACTATTTGTCAATTGCGTGCAAATACAGTCAGAATGGAGAAACAGTTTGTGTTTTTAAGCCGTCAAATGCTACTTTCTCAGTTCCTCTTATCTGATTGGATGTTGTGAGAACGTTATTTTTTCTTAACAACCAGTACAGCGTAGAGACAGCAACATGGCGGCAACATCAAGTGATGATGCTAATGGAAAACTTTTGTTTCTAACGTCATGGAAGCAGACATTTACGAGAATACACCACGACTAAAAAATGTTTGTCGTCAGTTTGGCAGGTCAGCCATCTTTTGTTTTGCAATAAAATACCTGCACATTTTACTACTTTTGTTTGCAAATAACTTTGAATTTTGCTTATTATGCATTTATTAACTTTTTTAAATATTTAAATTCTCAATTAACAAACATTTTGACACATTTTTTTTTTATTTGTGGCTAAGAAATAGCTATTAACTTTTTTTTTTCGGTAGGGCCAGTGAAAATATTTGCAGGGCAAGTAAAAATCTAAACCACTGGTCCGATCAGGCCAGTAGAAAAAATCCTTAGCGTTAAACCCTGTGGCTGCATTTCATTTTTTAAATTAACGCTACGTGGCGGTATGATGTCGTTCCTTTTTGCGCTTAGCAGCTGACTTCTTACTTCCGTTTGGACAGCTTTAAGGCTGTAACCAGTTTGTCCTCGTCATGCACGTCGGCAGACTTGAGACACAGAGAGGAGTTGACCACGACAACAGAATTAGAGTCCGATGAAAAACAGTTCCAGAAAGCAGGCGAGACAAAAACAGAATCCAAAAAAATTAAGTAAACAAGTAAATAACAGGGTGAAAAAAGTGATGAAATCTGAAAACGTGGTAAAAATCAGGCGAAGGCTTTTCTTTTTTAAGATTGCCTTTGAAAATTGTTGGTTGGGTTTAGAGAAGTGAGTGGGCGGGTCAATAAAGTTCAAGTTTAAGTTCATTTATTTATAAAGCACATTTAAAAGCAGTCACAAGACTGACCAAAGTGCTGTACATAAGACAAGGTAAAAAATAAAAAGACAGAATATAAAAACATGGAAATAAAGCAAGAGAGACATCTGCAAAAATGTAAAAAAAATTGCGATAGAATGAACTATTAAAATAATCTTAAAAAGCCAAGCTAAAAAGGCAGGTTTTAAGAAGTGATTTAAAAATGGATAATGATGGAGCCATTCTGATCTCAAGGGGCAAGGTGTTCAACAAGCGAGGACCTGCCACAGAGAAAGCTCTGTCTCCTCAACGTTTCAGCCTAAACTGTGGAACTGAAAGAAGATTCTGCTCACTCGACCTAAGAGATCTAACAGGAGTGTAAGGATGAAGCAGCTCTGAGAAATAGGATGGGGCAAGATTATGGAGGGATTTATAAACCAGTAAAAGCACTTTAAAATCATTTCTGAATTGCACAGGCAGCCAATGAAGGCTTCTTAGAAGAGGGGTAATGTGGTCATATTTTCTGCTTTTACAAATAAATCTAGCAGCAGCGTTTTGGACCAGCTGAAGGCGAGAAACCTGAGAATCGGTAAAATTGGTTGGGTTTAGGGAAGGAGGAGGGTGGGTCGGTCGATAGTTCGGTCAGTTAGTCAGTCAGTCAAACAGTAAGTCAACAGCGGCCTCTGGTGGGTTTATGAACAGCAGGTGTGAATGGCACTCGCGAGAGAAATTTGAGATATGAAAAAGCTTACACAGCGGCATGGATTACATGGATTCCCGAAAACAAAAACTGCAAAAATACATAACTCCTGAGACGTATTTTGCAGGCTCTTGAAATGTAGAGGTACGTTTTCAGAATGAGCCTTTGTTGATATAAACACCCCTTTTAAATTCCTATTTGTAATAGGAAGCCATACAATATTGCATTTGTGCATATACATTAGATTAGTCAGTACTGAAACCAAATCTGGAGCTTTTCTAACAAAATAACTTACAGTAATGTTCCAAAAACTAGTACAGCCAAATGTATGTTATAGAAAAATATTAAATACAAATTTAAAAAGAGGAAAAATCAAGAGAAGCAAAAATAATAAAATATTTAGTTGAAGTTTTGTAGGTTGTAATTATTTTCGCAATATTTTGCTTGAATTTAATTGTATTATATTTCAATTTTTAAATATGTTTGGTGACTAAAATATTATTTTAATAAATATATCTGTTTAATAAATCTGTTTTGTTTAAATGCACCAAAATACACAGCCTATATTCATTTTCAAAATGGGGTGAACTCGTTATGCGGAGCACTGTATTTACAGTTTATCATTGATTTCACTTAAACAATAAACAGCTGTTTCCTCATTTGTATTTGAGCGATCACACTTTGAAAAATAAAACCTGTTGTACGTCTTGATATAATAAAAAACATTTTGTACTTTTTAAATTACAGAGAAAAATGTGGAAATTTTCAATACACTCAAAAAAAAAATTTGTTGAATGAACATGATTTAATCGTGGCACCCTTTATGCATCTAATCCAATCAAGTAAACCTAAACTGCTTTGAACATGTTGTATGAACACAAAGCACATTTGTAGATAAAACATGGTTTCAATATGTCAGTCTAACTTCTTTGCAACTAATTGACTCAAAATGTTTGTATTGTGTTATTCTAATTAAAATGATTCTAATTTACTCAATGTAACACTAAAGCTTTACTTTAACAAAATTATGTCTTGTTAAATCAGCTAGTAAATTTCTTGTTCAATATTGTTGTTTAAATTCATTCATTCATTTTCTTGTCGGCTTAGTCCCTTTATTAATCCGGGGTCGCCACAGCGGAATGAACCGCCAACAAGTTATCCAGCAAGTTTTTTTACGCAGCGGATGCCCTTCCAGCCGCAACCCATCTGGGAAACATTCACACACACATTCATACACTACGGACAATTTAGCTTACCCAATTCACCTGCACCACATGTCTTTGGACTGTGGGGGAAACCGGAGCACCCGGAAGAAACCTACGCAAACCTCAGTTGGAACCTCAGTTGTTTAAATTACATTTTTTAAATGACAATACTATGAAGCAAGATTTAAAATTAAGTAATTCAACACAAAAAGGACAGAAAACATGTTATATATATATATATTTATTTATTTTTTTATTTTTTTATTATAGCCTTTAGCAGGCATCAATCACATTTAAACAAATTTCTTCTTTAATATTCTGATACAAAATGTTATATAATATATATAATATATTATATAATATAATATCCAAAATTGTAATATGTAATATAAAATGTATAAGAAACATTTAGCTAACAAGATAACCTTGGCTCTTAAGAAAACTGATCCCCAAGCAATACCTGTAGGATGTTAACATAATTTTTTTTTACCAATTGAGTTTAAACAGCTTTCTTCACTTTGGTACTCCTATTCAAAATGTAAAAGTATAAAATGTACAGGAAACATACAGCCAACAACATAACATGCATAACATTCAAGCTCTTGGGAAAACCAATTCCCAAACTGTGCCGAAAACACGCGGTGATACTTCTTCTTGTTGTTTTCGTATGGTGACATCCAAACACACTACCGCCACCTACTGATATGCGCGAAGTGACTCTCCAGAGTGAGAGTTGTCGATTTGAAGCGTCTCAGTCTCATTGAATCAACATGTTCTGATCAAATTCATTTGATTATTTCTTGATTCAGTTTCAAATAACATGAATTAATCATTTAACATACGTAAACTTGATTTGTTCTTTTCAATCTGACAAATTTTTATTTTGTAAATCCAATACATGCCTAGTTGATTTTTTTGAGTGTAGATTTGTTAACTTCATACTGACATCATGTGTGTGCATTATTGTGTAAAGAGAATTACATACAGCATCACGATACAGATCATAACATTCTTCCTGAATGTTTCATAAAACTGGGTGGATTCATTAAATATCGCCCTGATTATTGTAGTTTTCTGCCGTTCTGATGCCATGCACAATGTTTTTATCCTGCCATGAAGGACTCTTCAGTGAAAACAGTGCTTGCACAATAATCTGTCATTTCTCACTGAGTCTGTAAACACTATGTTGCCTAAACAGTTTGTGGCATATCTCAGGTTGGGGGCCAAATATGTGTGTCCAAGTTGAATAAAACTCGATAAAACTGCAGAGACTGTGTGTTGTAATTTGAATCAGGATGACATTACTGTCAGCATGTATTCAAAATGACCGTATTTGGGAGTCATATAATTCTGCGATATATTGTGCAGCCCTAATCTGTATAATCAGCTAACAGTGATTAAGTTGAGCGTAAAAACAGCTGATCTGATCTTCAATATCTCGCTCACACTGACCTTTGCCACTAAATAAACGGCTTGCTAATTATGAGCTAATTCTCCCTGTGGGGGTCATACGGTCTGTCAGCAAACAAACCTCCAGTCGCTCTTCAGAAAATGACACCCTTTCTCACTTCTGTATGTTTATGCCTCATTAACTATTATTCAGAAAACAAGGGAAGATTTTTGAAGCTTGCATCAGGGCAAATCCTTTTTTTTGCTATATAAGATTAGCCATTAAAAGGCACCGACAGTAATTATTGCATATGCATTTCACTGTAAAAAAAACACTGATTCAACTTAAAATTGTAAGGAAATGGCCAGTTTCCACTGAGTAGTACGGTATGGTTCGATTTGGTACGTTTTTATGGCTGTTTCCACTGTCAATAAGCGTGCCAAACTAAACCGTACTATACCACTTTTTCAGCACTCATTTGAAAGGGTACCAGAAACTAGAAAGGGCACCAAAAGGTGGAGCTACATTGGTCCGGCTTTGTCTTTGTAATCATCTTTAACACCTCCTCCTTCATCTTACCCCAGACGTGCTCAATAATGTTCATGTCTGGTGACTGGGCTGGCCAATCCTAGAGCACCTTGACCTCCTTTGCTCTCAGGAGCTTTGATGTGGAGGCTGAAGTATGAGAAGGAGCGCTATCCTGCTGGAGAATTCACCCTCTCCTGTGGTTTGTAATGTAATGGGCAGCACAAATGTCTTAATACCTCAGGCTGTTGATGTTGATCATCCACTCTGCAGATCTCTCGCACACCCCCATACTGAATGTAACCCCAAACCATGTTTTTTCCTTCACCAAGCTTGACTGATTTCTGTGAGACCTTAGGTCCATGCGGGTATATTATTTGTTGCTCTTACAAGTAGGATCGACCACAATACTTTCGTCAGGTAGTGTACAGTATTTGTATTTAAAGAGTCCAAACAATGCCCTAACAATTTTAAGTGGAGTCAACTTATTTTTTACAGTGTTGTATTAAATTTTTTTGGAAAATTAGATGCTTGTAATTGTCCATTGGTATAACAGTATTAAAGCAAGACGTATATACAAGTAATTTTAATATTTTTATTAGCTTGCAGAGTTTTCCGGTGACTAATAATAGCGTGTACAGTATGCATGGCTCAGACTTTGGCACTGGGATCGTGGTTGTGTTTGGTTTTGATCTGATTGGCGTGCAGAGCCTGACAGATGCTGTACTCACTGTCCTGATCCACATCGGTCAGACGGATGTCACACTCCACCAAAGTGCAGTTATGGGTCATTCCCTCCTCAAGAACCTTCCCTCCGTCCTGCAGGACACACACGAGATGTGGTGTTACATTCAGATTACCGAGCACAGAAATAAATAATAACTGTGAGAGAATAAGGGCTGATTTGTTTCAGTTAAAGCCTCCTCCTTTAACAAAAGGCAACATGAAATGACACTAGAATCCCATTTTTCTTGTGCAACACGACATCTTTTGAAGTAAAGCACCTTAAATGAGAAAAACTGTAGGCGAGATTTGATTTCATACATCATGAATTGTTGCTAGAGTATATCAAATCAAATCAACTTTGATTTATGCAACACCACACTACACAACAAACATTCTGTAAATAATGCAAAAGAAAAAGTAAGTATAAAGTACGTGTTAGTCTAACAAGTTAAAAAAAAATATATAGATATTAATAAAACAGACAAACGGGAGCGACACGTTGGCTCAGAAGGTCACTGATTTGAGTCTCGGCTGGGTCAGTTGGTGTTTTTGTGTGGAGTTTGCATGTTCCTACCGTGTTGGTGTGGGTTTCCTCCGGGTGCTCCGGTTTCCCCCACAGTCCAAACACATGCGCTATAGGGGAATTGGGTAAGCTAAATTGTCTGTAGCGTATGAGTGTGAATCATATTGGCAGTTCATTCTGTGTGGCAACCCCAGATTAATAAAGGGACTAAGGCGAAAAGAAAATGCGAATCTCCCCTTCCACCACATCCCGAAGGTGCTCTATTGGATTGAGCTCTGGTGACTGTGGAGGCCATTTGAGTACAGTGAACTCATTGTCATGTTCAAGAAACCAGTCTGAGATGATTTACTCTTCATCACTCAATTAGTACTAATGGGCCCAAGGTGCGCCAAGGAAATCTCCCCCACACCATTACACCACCATCACCAGCCTGAACCACTGATACAAGGCAGGATGGATCCATGCTTTCATGTTGTTGACGCCAAATTCTGACCCGACCATCCGAATGTGGCAGCAGAAATGGAGACTCATCAGAGCAGGCAACGTTTCTCCAATCTTCTATTGTCCAGTTTTGGTGAGTCTGTGTGAATTGTAGCCTCAGTTTCCTGTTCTTAGCTGACAGGAGCGGCACCCGGTGTGGTCTTCTGCTGCTGTAGCCCATCTGTCTCAAGGTTGGACGTGTTGTGTGTTCAGAGATGCTCTTCTGCAGACCTTGATTGCAACAAGTGCTCATTTGAGTTACTGTCGCCTTTCTATCAGCTGGAACCAGTCTGGCCATTCTCCTCTGACATCAACAAGGCAATTGTGTCTACAGAACTGCCACTCACTGGATATTTCCTCATTTTCGGACCATTCTATGTAAACCCTAGAGATAGTTGTGCGTGAAAATCCCAGTAGATGAGCAGTTTCTTAAAATATTTAGACCAGCCCGTCTTGACCATGTCTACATGCCGAAATCCATTGAGTTTCTGCCATGTGATTGGCTGATTAGAAATTTGCATTAATGAGGAGTTGGACAGGTGTACCTAATAAAGTGGCCAGTGAATGTATGTAAATAATACAGACTACTTATAGATGTGTGTGTGTGTGTGTGTGTGTGTGTAAATATTTTTGAATAATCTGGATTAGCAGATGCCCATTACTAAATATAACAACAACAACATGTGCTGGCAGACAATCAGACCAGAAACCCATTTAATTATATAGCGTCTACAGTGATTTCTTGATGACGTCAGTTCTTTTCATCCACATACACTAAATGTTGAATTGAATGTTTCTACAGGATGCCATTTTTAAATAAATGCAGCCACAATTTCAGTGTGTGACATATTATCTTATTTAACATTTTATTGGTGCATATCTCTGCTGTAAACAGCAGCACACTCTCACATATCAAGTTTGAGGTGCTCCAATGACGAAGCATATCACACTCTGCAGAAGCCTTGACTCCGAGTCTGCAGACTAATGTATGAGCTCTCTTCTGAATACTGGGAATGTGCTTTGCCTTGAAATGGAGATGGGAGGAGCGGATGCATGCAGTCCCAGGAGAGAGGTAATCCCCATCCCACATGTCTGTGTGTTAGAGCACATCTATCCTGCGGCCGTGAATAATTGAACATGAACGACAGACAGCGCTGCATCATTTCATATTCATCTCTTCACTGGCAATTAAAAGCAATGAGAAAAATGTTACACAGGACTAAGAAAAATGAGAGCAAATGCAAGGGGGTTGCTAGTGGTTGTCAAAACGTCATTGGCGTATATACTTGTGATTTATTTATTTATATGATTTATTTCAGGTTGTTTTAACAGCTAAAGATGAAATGATGAAATTATAATTAGGTCTTAAAATCAAAATGCACTCAATAATTTGGATTTTATTTTGCAGTGCTGATAGTAAAGCATTATTAAATCAAAATATGTTAATTTGAGATGCAAAATATCTGTAAAAGATAAACATTTTAAATTCTCTTAAAAATATAAACATTAAATATAAAAATTAAGTGAAGTTTATTTTAAAAACGGCAAAGAAATTGTCAGTGGGAAAAGAAAATCAAACATAATTTAAAGGGAATTAAATTTTCCTTTGATTTTTCTTTACTTTTTTCTTTTTAATAAATTTCTCAGAAAATACGTTATTGTAAAACCGTAAAATACTAAAACAAAAACATAAAAATCAGTCCAAGTCACTCGAAAAATGCTGAACAAATATTCGTTTGTTAGCCTGATAAAGGCAGTTCTTTCTCTAAAAACGCCTAGGTTTTTTTAAAGATTAGCCATGTGAATAAAGGCTAATTCTATTCTCAAATCAATCATATTCTTGATATAATCATACTCTCGATTTGATTTCAATTCACAAGCTTTCAATATGATTCTCAATTTGATTTCAATTCACAAGCTTTCAAATTGATTCTATTCTCAAATCAATCCTATTCTTGATTAAATTCTATTTTCGATTCAACCCTATTCTTGATTAATTTCAATTCTTAAATTAACCCTATTCTCGATTCAACCCTACTCTCGGTCCAATCCTACTCTCTGTCCAATCCTACTCTCGGTTAAGTCCTACTCTCGGTCCAATCCTACTCTCGGTTCAGTCTTACTCTCGATTTAACCCTACTCTTGATTTAATCCTACTCTCGGTTCAGTCCTACTCTCAGTCCAATCCTACTTTCGGTCCAATCCTACTCTCGTTTCAACCCTACTATCGATTTAATCCTACTCTCGGTCCAATCCTACTCTCGGTTCAGTCCTATTCTCGATTCAACCCTACTCTCGATTTATTCCTACTCTTGGTTCAAACCTACTCTCGATTTAATCCTACTCTCGATTCAACCCTACTCTCGATTCAACCCTACTCTCGATTTATTCCTACTCTTGGTTCAACCCTACTCTCGATTTAATCCTACTCTCGATTCAACACTACTCTCGGTCCAATCCTACTCTCGGTTCAACCCTACTCTCGGTTCAACCCTACTCTCGATTTAATCCTACTCTCGGTCCAATCCTACTCTCGGTTCAGTCCTACTCTTGATTCAACCCTACTCTCGATTCAACCCTACTCTCGGTTCAACCCTACTCTCGATTTAATCCTACTCTCGGTTCAACCCTGCTCTCAGTTTAATCCTACTCTCGGTTCAACCCTACTCTCGGTTCAACCCTACTCTCGGTTTAATCCTACTCTCGGATCAACCCTACTCTCGGTTCAATTCTACTCTCGGTTCAACCCTATTCTCGATTCAATCCTATTCATGATTCAATCCTATTCTCGACTCGATTTCAATTCACATGCTTTCGATTCGATTTCAATTATTCAAGCTTTTAATTCAATTTGATTCTTGATTTGATTTTGATTAACAAGCTTTCAATTCAATTTGATTCTTGATTTGATTTTAACAAGCTTTCAATTCGATTTGATGATTTTCCAAAACTGAACAGAGAGAACATCATTTTACAAATGGTAAATTAATATAAATAATTAAGGGCCACAGACTTGTTTTTAAAAGCTACTGCACATATAAAGCAAACAACAAACCAATCTCAGTAGCCTAAACTTGTTAAAATGTCAAGAAAATAAAGAGTAAAGAATGTAAAAAAACGACAGCTGGAATTTTTTTAAAGGGGACTTATTGTGCAAAAAAGGGGTTTAATAGCACTTATGTGGCAGCAGTGTGTGAATATAACCAGCCTCTAATGGTAAAAATAATTCATTATATTTGTTATGATCAGACTTGATAAAAACAGTCTGCAGAAACACTTTGATTGACATTTTCCTACGCGTCATCAGAGAAAGCCCCACCTTTTGAATATTTCAGCATTGATTGCCGATACTTTTGACAACTCTATCTGGATTGATGTACATGTACTCACAGCTCCCAGTCTGTTGTTGCAGAGGTTTAGACTCTTGAGGGCACAGTTCTCCACCAGGGCTTGAGACAGAGCCACGGCTGCGGGTTCAGTCATGTTATTTCCCCCGAGGTGGAGATTCACCAAAGTCTTGTTCTTGATTAGAGCTTGAGCCAGTGCCTGTCCCCCTTCATCTGCGATGCGGTTAAGTCTCAGGTTGAGGGACGTCAGAGTGTTGTTCTTGGCCAGAGCGTGAGCCAGAGCCTGAGCTCCTGCACCTCTGATCTGGTTGTTGCAGACGATCAGTGTCTTCAGCTGACTGCGGTTCAGGAGTTTCGCGATGGCTCGGGCTCCACGGTCACTGATGTGATTATGTGAAAAGTCCAGCTCCTGCAGGGACGGATGATCCAGCAGGTGGTTCACGATCACGCAACACTTCTCATCGTCCACCTTACTGCGATGGATCCTGAAGACCTGTGAGAAAAGTGGGAATATACACAACTAAATGTCAACAACGAGGCTCCGAAAAAAGCAGTGTGAATGCTAACTAAATATTAAGACCAGTGAAAACATCTTAGTTAGAAAACAAAGTTAAAAACATTCAGCTGAAGTCAGAATTATTAGCCCCCCTGTATATTTTTCCCCCAAATCCTGTTTAATGTACAGCAGGGGTTTTCAAAGTGTGAGGTGCGCCTCCCCTGGGGGGCACCAAAGCATGTCAGGGGAGGCGCGGGAAAAAAATATCATATAATAAAAATATAATTATTAAGTTTAATTATTATATGTATTTTGTATTATTTTTAAACGTTTTAATTAAACAAAGCTAAAAAAAATAATACGTCAAAAATAAGAAAACCTTTTTTACCCAAAAGGCCACAGCTGTGAATTCGCTTCTGTTTGGCAAGCCCACCAATACAGGTATATGCCTGCTAATACAATGGGTCGGTTTCTGAGACCCCCGGATTCAAAGCCTTCAAGTTCAGGGCTTAAACCCAAAAGACGACGATATGATGATCAGTATTTGAGTTTAGGATTTACGTGGACAGGACCAGCTGATGAACCATGACCTTTATGTGTGGTTTGTCAAGATATTTTGGCTAATGACAGCATGAGACCCGCTAAACTTCGGCGACACCTTGAAACCAAGCATGATGAGGTAGCAGGAAAACTTCCAGAATTTTGTGTGTGTGTGTGCGTGCGTGTTTGGGAGGAGGGGGGCGCCAATGGATAAGTTGTGCCAAAAGGGAGGCCCTCTGTCTTAGACTTTGAAAAACCCTGACGTACAGATTTTCTTCAACACATTTCTAAATAGGGGTGTGAACCTACACTAGCCTCAGGGTTTGTTTACAATTATTATGCCATCGATTCTGTCCAATTCGATATCTTGGTGCATTGACGATGCTTTTCATCCACAATTGACCCTTTGCTAAGCCACACCCGAAAATTGCCACACACCAATCGTGGCTAAGCAACTGTAGCTACGCGCAGGAGGTCTGTCAAGCTTCCGAGCAAGGGAAACAAGCTAAAGCCTTGTGCATATGGATTGTGCAAATCTGATACCCGGTATCATAAAAGTTTGGACGGGGAAGTGGAATTTTTTCCCTTTTTAAAATCTAAAACCCAAGAGGAGAAATGCCAGGATGGATCAAGCTGTGTGAGGGGCGCTTAACAAGCCAGGTTAAGTTGGTTTTGACATTCCTGACACATTCAGTAATAGACGGCAATAACTCACACACCTCTCACCCTAAAAAGATCTAAACTGCGTTTCCTACAGAAACACTAAGCAGGTTATGTTTCCCAGCTGTCTTTTTCTCTTCTTTCGCTCGATGTTATGAGCATTGCTCCGTTTAAGCCGTCACAATACAATCCAGTCATATTTTCATATGTTTCAGGCTACGAATATTTTAAATTACATATCAACAGAACAAAACCGAGATGCGATCACAAACTGAGCACCTGCGATCAATATACTTCACTCGCAGCTGTAATTTGCGTGACCATGACCATGTCAAAGCTACAATTCACCGATGTTTCCGTCTGTCTTTTGGAGATTTAGTCATTGGGGATGATGTTATACGGGTTAGTGTCTGCTTTTATATTTGGTGTCTGGTTAATATTTGCTGGTATGGAAAATCTATTTGTTCACTTCTGCTATTTATACTTTGATTTGCATTTCAATGTATGTATTTTTTAGATATTGGCATGGTTTCCGCTACATTCATTCTTCCGTGGCGGCGCACCACACCAAAATTCATCCCGCTTCGGCTACATTACAGCTTCTTATTCAAAATATTCAATCCGTTTTTTTTAAATAGCGGGTTAAAATCCCACCGAAAACATTGGAAAAAGTCAATAATAACAGCGCAAACTTTTCTGTGTAGTGCTGTGCGTTCTGTTTAACCCTTTAAGGGGATGTGCTGACTGACTGACTGACAGGTGCGCGATGCGTGAGGCCAGCAAACACGGTGTAGCTTTCAGTTATGATAAACAGTTTCCATAATTATACTTTATTTATAGATGAAGGTCTGTGGCTCTGCATATAATGACTTTATCTTGCTGGAGTTTATAGCCGTTTCACTTTACTTCAGGATGCATTAATGCAGTGGTTCGCTCCGCAAGTCTATCGGAGACATTCATAAATATTCCTAGCAAATATAATAAATGATGGAGACATACTCGGTACATAAACGCACTAAATCACACTTTAGCCGAGTTTATTTGAGGGCACGCAAGAAGTTTTGTGCACGAACAGAGGAAATCAGCGCTCATTGACATGCTTGTAGGCTGTTACATAAATGCGATTACGACTTAATACTGCGCCCATGACATTGTTAATGAAATAACTCCACATATAGAGGTAGATCGGTGTAAAATGGCCAACAGAGTCAGCCGCCACAGCTGGAAAAAATCCTAGAGGAAACACTGATTGGTTATATTCATTTAAATAAATATTTACCCTTTAAATATGTATTGACACTATAATATCCTATACCCCTTGGTCGAACCTCAGAATCATCAAAAATATAATAGGGTATATGCAGAAGGACTTTTAATTTTAAGTAACCCAATTGAATCGCGTTCGGTGAACTGTATACCATTACAAATCAGCGCGTTTAATATCTATGTTCTCTAAAAATCAGTGATCTTCACTGCCTGATAGATATACAATATAAGGTGGGTCTCAGAATGTACAAGAAGCACTGCATTAAACTACATTGTTATGCACCATATCTTTTAAATATGAACATGTATCAATTTTCAATGGGGATTCTGCGCTCGCCTGCTGATCCTGACAGCGCTTGTTCAAAGGGCTTTTCATCTCGTTTTACACTCGAACAACTAAATGAATGTTTAAATCTATTTAACTGATTATACTTCAAATATACTACAAGATTGATGCTGTAACAGTATGAAATTGAAAACATTTCACCGGAGGTTTATCGGTAGGGGAAAAAACACTAGCTCTCTGTATACTAGCTCTTCAGAACGCAGCAGCACGAGTGGTCTTTAATGAACCTAAAAGAGCACATGTCACTCCGCTGCTCATCCGTTTGCACTGGCTGCCAGTTGCTGCTCGCATCAAATTCAAAGCTCTGATATTTGCTTACAAAGCGACTTCTGGCTTTGCTCCTTCTTATCTGCTCTCACTTCTGCAGATGTATGTGCCCTCCAGAAACTTGCGTTCAGTGAATGAACGTCGCCTCGTGGTTCCATCCCAAAGAGGGAAGAAATCACTTTCCCGAACTCTCGCATTTAATCTGCCCAGTTGGTGGAATGAACTCCCTAACTGCATCAGAACGGCACAGTCACTCGCTGTTTTCAAGAAACGACTAAAAACTCAACTATTTAGTCTCCACTTCACTTCCTAATCTGCAATTGTCTCTCTGGATATACCACTAACTATACTAAAAAAAAAACAAAACAAAAAAAAATTAACTATTGCCTTCCTTCTTAGACTTTACAGACCTGAAACCTGCCTATAGCACTTATTAATTGTTGCTCTTATAGTTGTGTTAATTGCTTCCTTGTCCCCATTTGTAAGTCGCTTTGGATAAAAGCGTCTGCTAAATGACTAAATGTAAATGTATACCCTATTGCCAATAACATGATTCTAAAAACCTGTAAAGTCTTGCAGGAATTGAGTGCTTTAGCCAGGGATTCGCAGTCTCTGAAGGTGAACTCGAACAGATTCCACTCAAAGTTCATGCCACATCCTTTCACGCAATAAACCACGCTCAGCTCTTTCAGATTCGGCAGCTTGTCCAGCAGCATTCGGAAATCAAAGTGGTCCATGGAGGGTCCATCACTGCCCATATCACTGGCAGACTCTGACCCGTCGTCCTCGTCAAACCGGGACGGCTCTTTAATGGGCGGCAGCAGCTGAGAAACCCGCAGCTGCTTGACATAGTTTTGACACAAAGGCAGCACATCTAGCACTGTTTTGGTGTCAGTTGTGTCTGGTATAAAGAGTTCAATGATGCTCTGAAGGTGACGCTCGAAGAACATTTGTTTCCAGCTGTTATCATACGTGGAGATGTCAGCGAGTCCCCAGCGAGCTTCACAGCAGCGTTTCCAGTAGCTCTCATCGCTAATAAGGTTTGCAGTGATGGTCAACGGAAGAGATGCTGGCAGTCGTTGGAGGACGTATGTTTTAAAGCTGGGTTGGAGCTCATGCAGAATGGGCTTCTCTGCAAAAAATATTAAAGGGATAGTTCACACGAAAATGCCAATTTTATTACTATTTATTATTTATGAGCTTATGAGTTTCTTTGATTTAAAAAAATTACTCATACCCCAGGCAAACTCTCATTTAGGCCTTGGTCACACTAGAGTTTGAGCTGACGAAGTTCTGTTGTACGGTGATGTGAAAAGGGGCGGGATTAAACAAGACGATTAGACACTAATAAAGTATTGATTAAGTGATTGCTCCATATATTTAATTTCTGTGCAGAGAAGTCACGTTTTGTAAGTATATCGGGTGAAAAGTGCAGTGTGACCACAGCTTTAAGGTTTTTTCAAATGTAAATAAATCTGAGAAATATTTTCTTCCACAATAATGCCTCTTGTACTTTTTCTCATTATCTTTTAGGAGAAGCCTGTGTCATTTATGGTCAATAAAACAACTTCATTGTTGAAATCAAGTAAATTTAAGTTAGAATTTGCCAGGGGTATGAATAATTTTAAGCTTGACTGTATGTATATATATATATTTCTCGAGTGCCTTGGACTAATTCTTGTTGTTGTTTTGATGAATCCCTTATCCAAAGAGCACCGACCAAATATTTGAATTACCCCTCATCGCTTTTTGTTTGTTCTTCTGGATTAATATATGTATATATATATATATATATATATATGTATATATATATATATATATATATATATATATATATATATATATATATATATAATTTTTTTTTTTTTTTTGGGTAAGCAAGTATTTTACAGTGCTTTAAAAATACTCAATACTCTGTCAGTATTTTCAAACAATTGTATTTGATTTACCAAAATCGCACAAGTGGCAATTTCACATCTGTCACATCCATAACAGACAGATGTCAAATCCATAACGTAAAATCGAATAAAATCAATCATGTTTGTTTTGTAGTGAGCCGACTCTTATACTTTTGATTAGCATTGTTTCTTTTGGCTTGTGCAGTTTAATTTACAGAATTTTTACAAAGTATGTAATGTGTGATTTGGCAAATCAAATATAATAGTTTGAAAACATTGACAGAGACATTTTTGAGTATTTTTAAACCAATGTAAAATACTTGCTTACACAAAAGTTTCGATATTTTGGCGAAAATTTTTTTGTCATTTGCATGGAATTGCTCATATACACACACACACACACACAAACAGATATTATACATATATATATATATATATATATATATATATATATATATATATATATATATATATATATATATATATATTTGTAAACTTTAACTGTAAATTAAAGTTAACAACATTAATTTGCACTTTATTGTGGCAAAGATATTAAAGAAATTATTAATATTTACAAAAATATTTACTAAAACCTTGTCTCCATTAACAAGCTGTTTGAAAGCACTACTTTATAATAATATAAAAAAATAATAATAACAAGCATTAACGTTACCTAAATGCTCATTTAGTAACTTAAATACATGCTACTCTGACAATTCTGAGTGCATGTAAGGCTTATTTGTAATCCTTACGGTGATTATGAGAGTGTAAACTAACTGACAGACTTGTGTGGGTTTTTTACCTTCGAAGTGTTTTATAATATGCTGTAAACAGAGTGTTGTTAGCAGAGGAACCAGCGCCAGCGACCACTCATGATCCTCCGCGATGATACTGCGCCTTTTTTGGCCGTCAGAAGCGGAGTTCATGACCCCGGATCTCTGAGAAGACTGACTCCGAGACATACTGCTAAAACTGACAGATATAAAACAAATATCTTGGATAAATACGCATGAAATAATACAGATGACGTTACCTCATCACTGCTGCCTGTATGGACGACTTTCTTTCACGACGTCATTTTTACCTTTGTCCTCGAATAAATGTAGCTTTTTAGTATATGAACGCAAAATAAAAGACGAATCTTAGTTAAAGAAAACGTTGAACGTTAATTAATTAAGTGACTTCTAAATGTCGACTCACACTTTCTGTTCCTCGGGAAAGTTTGATGCTGCCATGGTAACAAGACCTGCTCGCGCGCTTTGTCATGTCACCAGCCGCTGAAATGCTAAATGCTAATAATCAGTCACTAAAATAATAACAAACATAATTTTCACAATCAATAAAAACAGTAAAACAGGACAAAGATCTAAAGCCTTAAGCTGTACAACATATATCAGTCATGTAGGTTTCTCTCGCATTATTAATTCTATCCATTGTAAATATTAGTATAAAACATCATTCACGTTACAGATGACATTGCATATCCTTATAAAATAGTTTATTCAAGTGTGTCTTTAATTATTAAATTTGTAATTATGTTGTTAAGGGTAAGGATTTCAGCCTTGCCCTCGCTTTTTTTCATTTAACATGACTTCCAATTTATTTTTTAGACTTTTAAGTTATGAACTATACACTTGCATATTGTTTTAAGCATAAACTGTTTATTAATTAGTAGTTTTGGCACAAGGCTACTTTATTATTATTTCTTAAATATAAATCAGTTTATTAGAGTCCTTGGATTTTAATGTCAGCCTCGTACTCCTCAAATAAATAAATAAATAAATAAAGTTTCTCTTCCCCTTCTATAATAGTCTATAATGTTTTTGGTGATTATGAGGTTTGACTGAGGGGTATAAAATATTGTAAATTATGCAACACTTCGACATTTTAAAGGTTAAATATTTATTTAAATTAACACAATGTTTACAAGTAACAATCTTTTAAAAGTGTGCAAACATTAGTGTAGAAACCATTAGCAAGCAATTCACCTGAAAACTACAAGCTATCATAAATTTATGTGTCATTTTTTGACATTACATTCATGAGAACAGGGTGATTTCTTTTTATTATGGGGTGAAATATAAGAGAAATATTGAATATTTTCTCACAAATCCAATTTCAGACTATTAGAGCAGTGTTTCCCAACCCTGTTCCTAAAGGCACACCAACAATTTTGAATGTCTCCTTTATCTGATCCATTAACTTCAGGTTTTGGAGTCTCTTCTTTTGTTCTGATGAGTTGATTCAGGTGTGTTTGATCAGAGAGAGGTTAAAAACTGTACTGTTGGGTGTGCCGTTGGGAAACACTATACTAGAGTATATGAAATTCCCATCATATTCACCTTTAGCTTTTTTTTTTTTTTTTACACATTATTACTTTCTTAATAAAGGGACAGTTCACCCCAAAAAAAAAACTTACTCATATGTACTCTCCCTTAAGATTAATTAATCTTTATGGGTTTCTTATACTGTTCTATCCATCTTTTTCTACCATAGAAGATATTTTGCAGAAAGCTGAAAACCTGTATCCACTGACTTCCATTGAAAACAAATACTATGGAAGTCAATGGTTGCCGGTATATCCAACATTCTTCAAAATATCTTCATTTGTGCTCAACATAATAAATGTTTGAAACACGTAAATGATGACAGAATTTCCTTTTTTGGGTGAACTATCCCTTTAAATGCAAAATTTATTACAGTTATTTCTAAATTGAAAAGATTTTATATAGTGTTTAGGGCAATACTTTAGCTTAGGTCACAATTCAAGGTATTAATAAACCATTAACTAACACTGCTAGCTTAATAAACTACTAATTCGCTGTTTATTACTAATTAATAAGGTAAAGGTTGTATTAGTTTTACCTGCTATAGAAGTCAATGGTTACCGGCGCCCAACATTCTTCAAAATATCTTCTTTTGTGCTTAACAGAAACTGGTTTTGGTGCACGAGTAAATGATGACAGACTTTTCATTTTTGGGTGAACTATGCCTTTAAATACTGTCTAGACGAACAACTGCATGATCAGCGCTAACCTGCGAACGCTGCTTTTGCTAGCATCAGCTTGCAGAAATCTGAAAGCTGCTGAATGTTGGAGATTTCAGACTCTTCAACACTTCTGCACTGAAAGCTCACATCACGCTTCTGCAGGCGGTGTGTTTTGATGGCAAAAGCAGACAAACAAACAAACATCAGTTTTTTTAGGCACACAAAGTCAAGCCAAGGCAGACCTACATGTAAGAATAACCCAAAGCCCTGCAACCTGTAGTGTAAACTGTTATGATTGGTGGTAAATCAAAAGCAGCCCTTCTCACAGTCAGGGTTATCACACGGTCACCCAAACACACCAACTAACATTATTTATATGTGTTATATTAATGTACACCTCACCTATGGCCATGAGCTTTGGGTCATGACTAAAAGGACAAGATATTGGATACAAGTGGCCGGAATGAGTTTCCTTCACAGGATGGCAGGGCGCACCCTTATGGACAGGGTGAGGAGCTCTGTCACCCGGGAGGTGGTCAGAGTAGAGCTGCTGCTCCTCCACATCGAAAGAAGTCAGCTGAGGTGGTTCGGGCATCTGTTTTGGACGCCATCCTATGGAGGTGTTCCAGGCATGTCCCACCGGTAGGAGGCCTCAGGGAAGACACAGGACACACTGGAGGGACTACGTCTCTCGGCTGGCCTGGGAACGCCTCGGAATCCCCCCAGAGGAGCTGGAGGAAGTGTCTGGGCAGAGGGAAGTCTGGGGTTCTTTCCTAAGACGGCTGCCCCCTTGGATCAGCACACGGAAATGAGATAGGATGAAGTTCAATTTAGATAAAACATTAAATATACGGTTTAATCAGAAATGCTAACGAAAAATAAATAACTAACAAATCCCCCCCCCCCCCCCCCCCCCCAAAAAAATATATATTTTAAAGTAATAAAACTCATTAAAAAATTAAATGTTTTACTTTACTATTTAAATTAGAAAATAAAAACATTACCTGTTATGTTAATTCCATAAGGTAATAAAATGCTGAAATGACCATTTACATTTGCAATTGTATACAGTAGGACTGTGCGTGTGTGTGTATATATGTATATATGTATATATATATATATATATATATATATATATATATATATATGTATGTATATATGTATGTATATATATATATATATATATATATATATATATATATATATATATATATAAATATATATAAATATAAATATATATAAATATAAATATATATATATATATATATATATATATAAATATATATAAATATAAATATATATATATATATATATATATATATATATATATATATATATTATATATATATATATATATTATATATATATATATATAATACACAAACGCACACAGGTCACTTTATTAGGTACACCTGTCCAACTTATCCAAATGATTTAGACAGACATGCTCAAGACAATCTGCTGCTGTTCAAATCAGCATCATGATGGGGAAGAAAGATGATTTAAGTGAGTTTGGCTGTTGCTGCCAGACTGAGTATTTCAGAAACTGCTGATCTACTGGGATTTTCACGCACAACCATCTCTAGGGTTTACAGAGAATTGTCTGATAAAGAGGAAATATCCAGTGAGCGGCAGTTCTGTGGGCGCAAATGCCTTGTTGATGCCAGAGGTCATAGGAGAATGGCCAGACTGGTTCCAGCTGATATAAAGGCAACAGTAACTCAAATAAGCACTCGCTACAACCGAGGTCTGCAGAAGAGCATCTCTGAACACACAACACGTCCAACCTTGAGACAGATGGGCTACAGCAGCAGAAGACCACACCGGGTGCCGCTCCTGTCAGCTAAGAACAGGAAACTGAGGCTACAATTCACACATACTCACCAAAACTGGACAATAGAAGATTGGAGAAACGTTGCCTGCTCTGATGAGTCTCCATTTCTGCTGCCACATTCGGATGCTCGGCTCAGAATTTGGAGTCAACAACATAAAATCATAGATTCATCCTCCCTTGTATTATCGGTTCAGGCTGGTGGTGGTGGTGTAATGGTGTGGGGGAGATTTTCTTGGCACACTTCGGGCTCATTAGTACCAACTGAGCATCGTGTCAAAACCACAGCTGACCTGAGTACTGTTGCTGACCATGTCCACTTATTAAATTCAATTGATTGGGACAATTTTGTAGAGAAGTTAATTATCCATAAATTGTAAACAAATGACAAATATACAAAAGAGCAATGAGAAAAGTCTCATAAACAGTGTTTTATGATTTTCAGGACAGTCAAATAGTATCCAGGCAAAGGACTTTAAAAAAATCAAATCTAAAATAACACTGCAAAAGTTTTTACAGCAATAATAAAGTTACAAATGGTAAACTGTCTGGTGCCTGAATACTTTGAACTCTGCCATGCCTTAAAAAAGTGAAAATTATAATCTCACTCCATTATGGATAAACTCTGAAATAACTACACATGTGTCCTGGACTTAGCTCTTTGTCAATTACACTACCTGACAAAAGTCTTGTCGTGGATCTCAGTTGTAAAAGCAACAAATAATAACTTGACTTCTAGTTGATCATTTGGAAAAGTGTCAGAAGGTGGATTTCTTTGATGAATCATCTGTTGAGCTGCATCCCAATCATCACCAATACTGCAGAAGACCTACTGTACCCACATGGACCAAGATTCTCACAGAAATCAGTCAAGATTGGTGAAGGAGAAATCATGGTTTGGGGTCTGCATTCAGTATGGGGGTGTGCGAGAGATCTGCAGAGTGGATGATCAACATCAACAGCCTGAGGTATCAAGACATTTGAGCTGCCCATTACATTACAAACCACAGGAGAGGGACAATTCTCCAGCAGGATAGCGCTCCTTCTCATACTTCAGTCTGCACATCAAAGCTCCTGAAAGCAAAGAGTGCTCCAGGATTGGCCAGCCCAGTTACCAGATATGAACATTATTGAGCACATCTGGAGTAAGATGAAGGAGGAGGCGTTGAAGATGAACACAAAGACGCTTATTGAACTCTGGGAGTCCTGCAGGAACGCTTTCTTCTTCATTCCAGATGACTTTATTAATCAGTGATTTGAGTCATGTCAGAGATGTATGGATGCAGTCCTCCAAGCTCATGATGGAGTCAGACACAATATTCATTCTGCTTCCACTGCAGCATGACTTTATATTCTATACTGGACATTATTTCTGTTCAGTGATGAGACTTTAGTCTAAGCAGAGTCAGACCTTACTGTCCTAATGAAATCATTAATAATCAAGACATGATCAGATTTTATTGAGGTTAAATAAGTGTAAT